TTCTTCTTTCACTTTTTTGAAGACTGAGGTGACATTTGTTTTCTTCCAGTCCTCAGGCACCTATTCTGATTGCCACAACCTTTCAGGGATGATCATGAGCAGCCTTTATGTGGTATCTGGCATCCCTCTCAGCACTGGTGGATGGATCCCATCTGGGCCCCTGAACTTGTCGATGTCAGGTTTGCCTAGGTGTTCTCTAATCCAACCCTCCTTGACCATGGGAAAGTCTGCCTTCCAAGAGTTCTTTTTCCTGGTTTCTCAGGTCAGAGATTCAGAGGTCTGATCTTACCAATAGAAGACCTATGCAAAGGCAGCATTCAGTAATTCTGCCTTCTCTGCATCTTCTGTTATTAAGGTTCCCTCTCCATTTAGTAATGTGCCCACATTATCCTTAGTTTTCCTTTTGCTATTGATGCATCTGAAAAAGCCTTTCTTATTGTCCTTGACATCCCTGACCAGATTTAATTCCAGGTGGACCTTGGCCTTTTTTTCACTTCTGCTTTGACAACCTCTCTATGTTAATTCCAAGTGATCTGATTCTGCTTCCATCTCCTCTGCATTTCCTGCTTACACATGAGTAATGACAGGAGTTCCTTTTTATCCATGCAGGTGTCTTCCCCCCTTTGTTCAATTACTTGCTCACTGGGTTGGTTTGTTCTTGAATCTGGAGAAAGTGATTCTTCAATATGAGCCAACTCTCGGACCCTTCTTTGCTGAAAGGTCCATTCCCATGGGATTCTTCCAAGAAGATCCCCTGAAGAGGCTAAAGGTAGTTCTTTAGCCCTGAATAGGCTGAAGGTTACAATTTACTTGTTGCCCTGCTTCTTGTTCTGTACTGAACTTCACAATCTCATGGTCACTACAGCCAAAACTGCCCCCAACCTTTACATCTCCAACAAGGCTGTCCCTGTTTTTTAGTGAAAGGTCAAGGAGCACACCATTCCTTGTGGGAACCTCCACTCCCCGTGTCAGGAAGTTGCCATCAGCGCTTTCCAGGATGCTCCTGTGCTGTTTGTGCTTCATGGTGTTGCTTCTCCAGCAATGTCAGGGTGGTTGAAGTCCCCCACAAGAGCCAGAGCCTGTGACTGTGAGGCTGCTCTGAGCTGCCCGTCCACCCCTAGACAGAGCCTGATACATTCCAAGAGTTGCGTCACACGGAGGTCAACTCTATCACCGTGATTTGGATGCACCTATGCACTCTCCTTTATGCTTAAAATCTGAACACCTCAAACATAACAGTCATGAAGACTTGCTTAAAACACTAGAATTTGCCAAGTCTGAAGATCTGAAATGCACCTTGATGGAAAAAATTGTATGTTTAGAACATAAATATAAATTATATAAATATTTACAGTTACATAGAAAATTATTTTTATAAATTATATGTAAATATATTATATAAAAAAGCACTGCAAAATATTACTTCCCTAATTAGCTGCAAATCCAGAAGGATTTTTAGAGATACTTAAAAGCAGCTTGTCTACTGTGAAAAAATCAAATACAAAAAAACACCAGCTAATTCTACATTATTTTTTCTATATACCCCTTGAATGTCAAAAAACATGTTTTTCTCTTATTACTCTCTCATCCAAGTCCAAGACTGAAACAATTTAAATGGGCTGAACATTTAATTACAGTAAGCCAGGTACAAAATTTCTCATCAAAGGTGAAGCTTTCTCAATGCTTAAAAATAGCATTTAAATGAATGTCAGATTACAAAATATGAAATAGGAATAGAACTAGATGATGGTAGTAAAAGGTATTTTATAGTAAGAACCTTTTATCCTTGGGTATAATCTCTATTGCTGAAAGTCCAACTCATCACAGTAGTTCTGATGATCACTGATGTCTTTGCCACTCCTCAGTGTAGCATTCAGAACTACACCAGACTGGCAGAGCTAAATATGCACAGCTGCAAATCCTGTCCTCAGTGTTCCTCAGGATTAATGAACCTGTCAGTAAAAGAGAGCCTAGAAGCAAATGCATCCCACAGATGCTATCCCATGTAAGTGGCTGGAGAAAAAAGTATTACCACAAGTAGAAAAAGAACTTTCCTTTTCAATAATTTTCCATTCAAATTTCCCAATCCCAACTAAGAGGAAAAATCATACTACACTCAGGTTTTTTTTTCTCATTCCATGCCTTCGTGGTAAGCACAAAAAGAAGGCACAAGTTGCCTTCTTTTTTTTTTTTTTTGTTGCAAATGAACTGGTTTGATGAATAGCCATGTGTAAAATAAAGATTAACTACAAGTACCTGAGAATCAAAAAGTACAGAGAAAGGAGAATAAATCAGTAAGACAATGTGATCGTTTATGACTGCTATAGCATTGACTTTCAGGTTGCCATTTTCTATTAATATTTTGAATCATACGGAACAGGGATGAAAACTATTCTGTTTAACCACTTGAAATATAAAGCATTTAAGTCTGGAATTTCTATCATGTAACTGTAATTGCAAAATTACCAAACTCGATGTTAGAGAACTACCAACTATTTCAGCCTGATTTCAAATTCTGCTTTTGAGCTCCTATGTACTAGAAATTTAAATACAGTAAAAAGCAACAGTGTTTATCTCCATGTTACACTCAATTTGTGTTCATATTAAATGCTAGTTGTTCAGAAGTTTTTATTTGGTTCAAAATATAAAAAAAAAGAAAAAGTAAATATGGCCATCAAGACAGTCTAATCCATTTTTCTCATTAGAGTTTGATGACAGAATCCTGTGAGGAGTGCAGATAACACTTTCAACAAGGGACCTTGAGGAGATCTTGTAAGGGACGCAGAAAACCAATCAGACCCTTAAAATTTAGTTTTCAGAGTCTTCAGTGAGAAAATTTAAGGAAAATAAGGGTAACGGTAACAATTTTTTTTTCCAGGAAAGGGCAGCTCAGCAGGACTTCCCACTATTATTTCTCAACAGTATGAGGTATGAGAAATCCCTTCTGAATGGGTGTCATACCTAGAGCAATGCAATACTTTGCAACTCTAACCTAAATTACCATCTGTATTATACTTGAAATTCACTTATTTTTACACATTAATACTACATCTACAACAAAGAAAAACTATTTCTCCTTACCACAGTCCAAGGAATCATGTCTTTCTATGCTCTACCCATTACTGTGATTACTACTGGACATGAAATGCAATCAGGGAACTTGCACTCATTTTATATGCAGTGGCTGCATATCCCAGCTATGCCTCCTCTGCAAGGTCTATTATTTTCCAGAATTTATTTCAAAATGCAATTCCTTAAATATTATGAAAGCTTGTCTCCCTGTCTGCCTTCCATCAGGAAATACTATTTAGGGTACCCATCAAGTGCAGGTGTAAAAAGCATCAAAATCAACCCAAATCTTGATACTAAAAGGAAGAGGCAGACTTGGGTTTTTCAGGGTGGGGTTTTGTACTGTTTATGTTGGAGTTTGAGAATGTTGGGTGGGGGATGTCCTTCTGTATTTTGGATGTTGATCAATAAATACACAGATTTGATACAGTGTTTTCTCAGATGCAACTAGCTTGTGTTGATTCAATCAAGAAGTAACCTAGGACTATGTAGGATAGAATTTTGATTCTTCTCTATGAGATTCATACACAAGGCATTTAAACACCATTGAGTCCATAACAACCATGTATAATTCTATGCACAGACATATATACTGAAGTCTCATTATATTTTACTAGGACTCTTGCAACAAGTTTGCATACAACTTACCAGCATTACCAGCAAGGACTGATAAAAAAAAAAAAAAAGCTGTGTTTTTTCATGCTTCTCAGTGAAGCAGAAAGTATATGCAAAGCTGATGAATGAGGCTTATACTTATCTCAGCAAACCAACCAGAAGTGGACATGCCTGTCACCGATCAAACATTTCTTAACATTTCTTAACATTTTAAAGAGTAAGTAAGTTATGTTCCACAGAATTCCATGGACAAGTACATAATGTTTTGAATTGCTAAAAGCTATTTCAAATTATTTTATATGTGATATTAAACAATTTATATGAATACTGCAGCAGGAATGAAATATTTACATATTATAGAGGTAGACTCTCTAACATATATATACACACACAGACACCCATTATATGCTTTTTTTGCTTCTAATTCTTAGCAGACTATCACAAACCCACTTGATGTCCCCAAGTCCCAGATTGTAAGCTTACATGACATATTCAATACAGCAAGCAGACAGAAACAATCTCTCTTGGCCCCTCTGAAGAGGATGCCGTGAACTGTGTGCTCTAAGAAACACCAGCAAAGTTCATGAAATTGATTTCACTCAGTTAAATTAAGTATATGTATTCCAATTTCAAGAAGAACACTGGTTCACTATTTATATGAGAAAATTAAATACATTACTTAAAAATGTTGATAACCTAGACACTCTTGCTATACTGCTTATGCAAAATGCCACCATTTTATCTAGTGACATTACCAAATGGTCACACAGACCATAGAAGATTCCTCTATAGCTTAGAGGCACCACAGGCTTTGAAAATGCAGCATAACTGAATTTTGGTTAAAAAAAGCACCAAATACTGTGCCTGAAAGAGAATTACAGTGAAATAAGTGCCCGTCAAGTGTCCTCTCAGTCAGCTCAGTGCCCTTGAACAGACATCCTGTCTGGTACACAAATGAAGAAAACTTTGGTGTATCAGTTTACTCTTCAAATGCTTCCATTAGGAAATATTTTTTCTTTTTCTCCCTTAATTTAATGGCCCAGCAATATTTAATGGACAAATGCTTTAATTTTGGTATTTAGAGAGGTTTTTGCTTCTGTTAAGATTATAAATTCTATAATAAAGTATGTATAGTACCAGTCAAAACTGCAGCTTTTACACTTATGAATGTAGGTAACCAAAGAAGAATTGACAACTGGTAATTACTTGTATTTCCATTACCCAATAAAATCTCTTGCACTCCAATAGAATAAGGTGACCTCTGCAGAAGACATTGAAGTGCGTAGTCAAAAGCACAGAGATATAGAAGCACTTACATTTGCACTGTGATCACTTCCACTAACACAGACGACATCTTGTTTTTGAATTGTTAATACCTCTTTTGTAAGTTTCAGTCGGATGTCATAAGCATTTTCAGATACTTCATCATACAACAATGCAATACCAGTTTTAGTCTGCAAAAAAGAAAGGCATACATAAAAATTTAAGAATATGAACGTTTCATAATGGTGAATAACAAGCTCTATCCCATTCAATAAATAAAAAGCATACAGATGAGAATTTTTTACAGAAAGCGGAAAACTGGTCTGCTTTTCAGTCTTCAAATTGATTGGACATAAAAAGCCTCTTTTGTACCAGAAAATACAGACTAAGTGGTCTTTGAAGAAGACATTAATATGCAAAGAGTAAAAGAAAAAAAAAAAATTAAAAAAATATCTTCATTGTAGTGTTCCACAAAGAAATGTTGCCAAATAATGATGTCCTATTTGACTTTATTTATATAAAGACTTACGAAAATGTATTCAAAACAGGTAGGTATGTATAAATGCATGTGAACACATTTTCCATTTTTGGCAAGAAGTGAGGAAGTGAAATATTGTTCCTGTCTTAAAGATGTTTGTTCCACTCTGTCAGAAAAAGAACTGTACCCTTCATAAAAGTTTCCATTAAGATACAGAGTTCTGTTACATTAGAAAACTATGTTTTCACATTTAAAACATATCATTAAACCCAGTTGTTACAGAATTTCTTTCATTTAGGATAAGATGAACATACATTTCTTAAGTTATACCATCACTGGACTAATAACTAGCAAACTTCATAGGATGGTCAACTATTTGGTATAAACAATGTTTTCTCCATAAGGAGTAGAAAAGAAACTTTATTTTAATTTCTGGTTTATTCGCTTAAATTTCCCACTAACATTCAGTCAGGTATTTCCTTAAACAAAAACTTGTATTAGGACTGTTTACAGCAATTTGTTAAAATATGCAGGCAAATGAAATTTCAGATCTTTACATTCACTGCACAGAAGAAAAAAACCACCTGTTCTGAAATGAGCGATCATATTTAAAAGCACTATTTGTTTATCAATTTATAATATATATTACAACACTCCAGTTTATGCAAGAGAAGAAAAATCAAGCATTAAGTTTTTGTATTTTGTATTTGTTTTTAAAAGAAGATTTAATATCAAGTTGTTCATCTATGTTTTCCTAACGGTGGACTGTATAAAAAAAGAGTAATGGAAATATAGAAGAAATGTGTCCTGTGTACAGAATGAAAGCTTGAAGGATTTTAAAATAAAAATAAACTGAAAAATTATCTTCATAATATTTCCATTTCCATAAAATTAAGGCGAAAGGTCTGTGGTGATTGTCAATAAAACCTTTCAGTTGTTAAAAACAGGATCAGCTTAAGCTTAAGGCACTTACATTTGGTGTAGCTCCATGCTGCAACGGAGTGTCAAAACCTCCCTTATAGCAAAAATAGAAAATGCAGCCTAGACAACAATTAAATTTGTCCTGAATTATATACACAGCAGTTGCTCAGATGAATTGCTCATGTAGTTGGGCTATCCCTGGGCTCAAAGCAATTGTCCCTAGGTAGGTCACTTCTGCCATTTAAGACACTAGGATATCCTAAGACCTCTGAGCATGCAAAGCTGACACAGGCTTTTTGGGATATCCAGGTCCTTTTCTAGCTGAAGGCAAGGCCACATTTCCATGTTTATAATGAGATACAAACACTGGTCATGTCAGCAGACATCCACATGTAGGTATCTCCAGCCTGTAATGGATGTCACAAAAGGTTTACAGTGCAGAAATCACAGAACAGCTTGGGCTGGGAAGGTCCTTAAAATCATCCACTTTCAACACGTTGGAAGAACACCTTCCGCTTAACCAGGTTGCTCAAAGCCCTGTCCAGCCTGGCCTTCAGCACCTCCAGGAATGGGATATCCACAGCTTCTCTAAGCAACCTGCTCAAGTGCCTCACCACCCTCACAGTGAAGAATTTTTTTTCTAATATGTAACTCAAACCTGTGCTCTTTCAATTTAAAGCTATTCTGCCCTGTCCCATTACTTGTAAAAAGTCCCTCTCTGGCATTCTTGAAGGTGCTCTTCAGCTACTGGCAGGCTGCTCTAAGATATTCCTGGAGCCCTCTCTTTCCCAGACTGAAAAACCCCAATTCTTCCAGCCTCTTTTTTTGTGAGAGAAACCCACATCTTTGCTGCTCTGAATCTGTCCAGGCAGCGGTGAGACTCTGAAGTGTGATTCTATCTGATCTCTTTTATACATCTATCTAGAAGGGAACAAATGAGTCATAGCTCTCTGAGTTATAAGGTAAATATAAGTAACAACTCAAATATAAGTGTCTAATTGTGGGAAGACAAATCCATTCAGTGTTTGCTGGGTATGTCTAAGGGAAAGAAAGTTCAGTCATAGTATAAAGCCTTACTCACTCTTACTCATTTGGAATCCAACTTTATTTTATTTTTCCAAGGCTTAGTCTTTTCACATTTTCAGCATGTGTGAATGTCCTATCAATACATTTTTGTGAATGACAATACATGAAAACCATGTCAGTACTATCTGCCTAAAAACCATGCTACCAGGAAGTATTTCCTAACAGAACTTCAGCCTTGAAAAAACAATGGCCCTGAATTTTCCTGCTGTTCAGATGTTGAGCATCACTGTCCCACATGGACTGGTGATCACTGCTACTTTTGCTGTGTACCAGAGCATGCTTTACAGAAACACTGGAAGAAAACAGCTCTGGAGCACTCTTTATACAGCTTAGACCCAGAACAATTCTCTTGCTAGAAATTGTTACATATGTTTAGAAGAATCACAATGAAAAAACTCTGAACTTTCATTTGTGCCAGATGATCAGATAACAAATGAAATATGCAGAGTGACCTATTAAATAGTTTAGCATTTTCCATCACACTATTTCAACTGAAGTCCAACTGAAGCTCATCTATTACCATTAAAATCCAATACCTACATTACACTTCATCTAACTGCTGAAGTGATCCAAGATGACGCGCAGCAATACCTTATTTGCTTTCAGAATCAATAAGATTAATCTGGATTTCTCTCAACCTTTCAAGTTAGCTTTTTTTAGACTATTATAAATAGCTTTGAATCAAAGTTCAGCACATTCCCTTTTTCTCTCTTTGTGTTAAAGAGCTGGCATACATAACTGTAGGGGACAAATCACAGTCCAGACAAAGGGTTTCTTCAAACAAGAAGCTTTAAATGAGAACTTAGTCTTTGCATGTAGATCTCACATTTTAACTAAGTATGTTCATCTCGATTTCTCATTTAAAAACTATCTATACAGTGGCCATTCTAGGTAGGTGATATCAAGAGGTGAGGACTGAAAAGTCAAAATAACTCTCCAAAATGACATAGTATTGTTAGAGATCATATGTTTTGTAATAAAAAGCATGCAGAAAGTTCATAAGGAGTTGCATCTCAATAGGATTTCAGTGCTTACATTAAGAGGTAGGAGAATACAAATTTAAATTCACTTGGGCAGAAGAAGAAATTAAATGTTGATTTTCATACCTCTAACAGTTTTCTAGAAACTGGCTTCAGGAAAAGGAGTGTGTGGGTGTTCATGTGCATGTTCACTATGTGGTGGGAGGAAAAGAAGATCAGTAGTATAAGCATCATAGTAGCTGTGACTTGTAGGAAAGCATAGACACAGCTCTGTTTTTGAAAAAGAAAAAACAACACTGAAGCCTGCTTTCTTAAACCAGCTCAAAAACAGTCAGTACCACAGAAACATTCCTCTCTAGAGGGAGCTAGAACAGCAGATGAATCTTTTTATCAGTTTTATTGTTGACTACTTAAGAAGGTCCCTAGCCATTGTACTTGCTTTGAAGCACTCCTTGTTCAGCATAATGTTTTGGGACCCTACTCAAAGTAACATGACTCTTTAAATGTGCTGTCTAAAGCTCACAGCTGCAAATTGTGCTCCAAGGTAGGCATCCCTACAACAAATTTCAGTCTTACTGGTATAAAAAAATTGTCTTCACTGCTGTTTTATTTTGAAACAGCTTGCAAAAAAATTCTCTGCATTAAGTTACATTTGCTCTCCAGCAGAAAACATTATTTGCTGATCTTAGTCTTTAATAAACACATCCATAGCTTCAAGGGCACTGCAGTTCAATTTTATATGTTAAAATTCACTCATAAATGACCTTCCTTTATTTGTAAATAAAACTCTTTAAATACTGTATTTGAACTTTTTTTTTCCCCACTGAAATGCCACATTATCCAGACTAATATTTTATCATCAACATTTATACCTCACAAGTCTAGTGATAAAATTCTCTAATCCAATTTAATTTTTTTAAAATGAAATGAACTCTGTTGAAATTACATATCTGTGGTATACTTATAGTTGGAACACTTGCAGAAGACACATAAAAACTGGAGTCACTGATTTTTATCTTACATCATTTAAGATTAGAAAGAAAGAGAACTTCAGGAAGTCCCTCATAGTGCCCTGAGCACTAAATTGTGGCAGGCTCAAATCCAGTTTCTCTCACAACAGGTTTGATGTTGTCTGCACCGCATTTCCCATCATGATCAAAAGAGAAAGATACTTTCTCAGAGAAATTAAAATTTAAAATAGCCATGACTAACATAAAAAGATTTTAAATGGGATGAAATGTAAAGGGAAAAAAAGCGTGAGGTGTTACACTATAGGCAGAACAGTCATCTGTATGGAAGAAGAAAAGCTCTTCTACACCATATCTTAAGGAATGGAAACAGGTATGTAGCACTGAGATTGGGCAGAAAAATATGGGTATCAATATTTTGTTGTTGCAATAAAGGCAAACACATGCTTTCTTCATATCGTTTCCTTTGATTTGTTTTTTCTCAGTCTTACAAGACAGTACCTAAAAGTACAAATAAAAATACAGTTCTTTAGTTGGGTAGTTGAGAAGGTTCCTTAAACACTGCTGAATGTGAGGGAGCAAAATTTCATGCCCATGAAGTAATCTATCATCAGTGTTGCATTTAATACATCTCAGTATATTGTTTCCTTTTATACTGTATTATGTCAGTGTTGTTTCATGGCTACACTACATCAAAGAGGTAATGAGCTGAAAAGGGTCATGAGAGAAACAAAAAAAATTAGAAGTGGTCAGAGATCTGTAAAATAGGATGTGTAAGTAATTCAAGATAAATTCAGGTTATTTTGTTTCAAGACAGCATATACAAGAACATAGTGACAGTTTTAAGTACTTCAAAACATATTGCTAATAGAGCAATCAAGAAAGAAAATAATTCAGAAATCTCCTCCTTTGAAAATATTCCGGTTACAAGGAAATGGAAGTCCTTGAACAGATTGCTTGGATAAATTATGGACATCCATTGCTAAGGGATTCTGAGAGAAAACTGAACAAACATCTGCCCAAATGGTACTGGTAATCCTCTCTCAGGGCAAAATCCCAGAAAATAACATCTCCTTTAGATCTATGTCATGCTAATATTCAAAATTATGTGACTTCTTGCATATGAATGAACTTCTGAATCAAGGAGAAAACCTGACTGGCTTTACAAGGACGCCTAGACTGAATAACTTGCAACTGCCATAGGATGGGTGAAAAATAACTATGAAGGCCTGAAGTTTATCACTTTAGGGCCTAGATATTGGATGAGTTCTATTTACAGCAAACTTTGTAAATAATCAAAATTTTCATAGCACTTAATCTGAAAGATGACTGTACCTTAAGAAGAAATGTGCTTACGTCTTTCATGATGAAAAAAAGATAGTTCTAGGCTTAAGGAGCCTTGAGTAAGAACAAATAAACACTTTTCAATGGGACAAAATTGGACAAATGGATAAGGCAGTAGAGAATGAAAGCAGTAACACATCTGTGGAACACAGAGAATCAATGATTCCATTAGCAGCACAAACACACAAAGAACCATTCAGTAAAGCTAAAAGCATACAGAAATCAATTATAACTTTCTGAAATGAGTCATACAGAGCTCCTTTACAGAGTATGTTTTTTCCTGCAATTACACATGGAGTTGTCCTTATTCTCAGCTTTAACATACTACAACTTTTACATTTAATGACATTGTACCACTAATTCAGAGACAAAAATACCTCAGTATTCCTTCCTTTAAGAAATTCTGACTATAATGATAATGAAGCCATTAAACAGACTATTTGGAGGATAGCTTATGGCTCCCCAACACTATGAGGGTGAGGGGTTCTGTGAACAAGCCAGAAGAAGCATCTCAAAAAATGTTGTGGAGAATAAATGCTATGGATTTGTCCCTTATCTCAGAAGAGTAGTTCAAGTCTCCTGTATTAGGGGAGAAAACATTATTTTACCATCACTTGTAGGAAGGAATCTGGAAAGGTATGAAACCCAGCCACAAAGGCAACTGTGTGACCAGCAACCCAGCTGAAAATCTCTAAGGACAGAGGCTGTTCCCCACTGCTGGGCAAACAGCTCTACTATTTGT